TTTAAATCAATCAGTGCAGTTTTATTGGGGCACTTTAACTTAAAATTGGTATAACTTTTCATTTTACATTCAACATTTGTTCAAATTGGGTTAGCATGTGCAATGTCCAGGCGCTATTTTTTTTCTTTTCATTGTTTATGAAAAGTTTCCGTTTGGCATTGAGGCTATTCTTTCCAAAGTTTTGTTTTTCATCTGCAGTCTTCCCACTTGGCACTTGCTTGATACCTTAAGGTGTGGATGAAATCTACACTCCAGCCTTCCCTTCACCTACATGTATGAAATTCTGCTAATTTCACTGTCAGAATAAGATTGTAGAAGGACCTGGTGCTTTCATGGGTAATGGCTGACTTGACAGATGCCTTATGCAGATAGATAAAGGATGGTTTAAGAAATTTGTGTTACTTGAGGATTGGAAATAAAAGAATAATTGAAAGAAAAAGTTGTGTTAGTGAAAGGATAATAACTATTACTGGCTTTGTTTGAAATGTATCATGAGTCAATTCAACTACATCTGCTTAAGTGTAATGCAAAATCCACCTGACAAAAATGTTCCATTATTGACTTTGCAGTTTTGTCTTTAAGCGTTCTTAAGCTGATATGCCTACATAGTTCATGTTTTTGTACAAATTTTGTACCACTTAAACTAATCATTCCTTCAGGCTAATCTTGATGGTTATTGGAATGTGATATGACAATCATTTACACTTTTAAGAAAAAAATATTTCTGTATTAAGTTAAATGCCATTGATGTATTAGTATGACCCCAGTTTTCATCCTTGCTGGTCAAAGACAAAATGAACTGAGCTTTTCAAAGATGCAATTCAGTGAAACTCTCAAGTATGTACTTAACTTTAACCTTATATACTGTGCTGGGACTACTTGTTAGAAGTACACAGATGCATAAATGTTCTGCTGAATGTAGTAACACTTAACTTTAAAGAAATATGGAGTGTTTTGCTGACTGAAGCTCTCACAGATAAATAATCTGCCCACTCCGATTCAAGCATGCGCTGCTGTTGCATACACTACAGCTATCTTGAGAACCCTTAGATGGACAGCAACACATCTCTGAATATAAATACTAGCCACATGAATCATGGTGTAGAGAGAAAGTCAGACTGCATGTGCAGTAAGAAAAAGCTCTGAGTATGACAGACTGGGTTAGAATAAATGCAAAATCATCCTAATTTCAGCCATTATCTTCTTGTTGACACTTTGCTTCCTCATACTCTTCCCCTCCATTGTTGGTCATTATCATACAGATTGTCACATCTGAAATTAGTACTTTGAGAAAAGAGCCATATCTTTGCAACCTGTTCTGGAAAGACCTCAACATATAATAAAGTACTATAAAAACACTTAATGTTATTTTTACTGTTTTAAAATGTACGGTGTGTGAGTTATCATAAGAAAAACAGACCACCCTCCTCAAGATCCTCCAATGGCTCCGTTAAACTCTGCCTTTGTAGCTCATGACAGTGCAAGTCATACATATGGGGGAATAAAAATTAAGGGCTCTACACTTTTAAACTCACTGCCTTTAATTTTGAGTGGGTTATCTGATAATTTATTTTAAAAACAAACAAAAAAACCCACCCCCCCAAAAAAAAAAAAGAAACAACAAACCAACAATAAGACCACAGAGTCCAAGTGGCATGTGCTTCCCTTTGTAACTATCAATGATCACTGAAGACATTTCTTCCTTTTGATATTCATGTGATACCAACTATTCAAATGCCCTTTTTAGCCTCTTCTAGCATGTGTTACTCTTTGGGTACCATGAAAATGATGTGCAGGGCAGCTGGACACCTGTTGATTTGTCCCACCTTCACGTTGATGATTCCCACCAGTGAGAAATACCTTCTAATATGTTCAGATTAGAGAACCAGCTTTTCTGAGAGATGAGCTTTAAGGATAAAAGGTAGAATAGTTAAAGAACAATTCACTTTACAGCAGAGTTATTTCTCTTTAAAATAAAACTTGTCTTTTCATATTACCTATTCCTTAACTTCTACCTTTTTCCCTTTCATGCCACCCCAAGCTAGATGGCCCTAGCCTGTGTCTGAACCTTGCAAAGGAAACTTCCTTCATCACTTCCTGTGACTGACTACTTGAAAGCAGATAGTATTGTGGAAAGAATCCTGCCTTCCTTCTTCCCTTTGTTTGTTTCTTCTTCCCTGAGTAGTTTCATCATAATTTCTACCATATACTGTAATTATCAAATATTTTCTTCTGGTTGCTTATATATTTTCCAGTGTTCTGAAGGCATGTTGGTTAAAGTAAACAAAAAAGACTAAGTTGCAGGTCATGTGCATGAAAACAGACTAATTATGCTAACCTCTAAAGTGAATATTTAAGATAAAACTTTTCAATGTAAAAGTATGATAATCTCAATCATGTTAATTTCCGTAGGGGCTGTAGCTCTCTCACAGAATTACTTTATGTACTTTTTGTACTATGTACAAACCAAATGCCTATTCCCAAACACTTACAGTTTGCATAAGGAAATCTAGGTTCAGAGGAACAGAAAAGGTTATCACTCACATAAACACTGTGAAAAAGGATGGCAGCCCTGCTGATATTGATTCCACTTGATCTTTTCTTTTTGCATAATGTCACCTTTTTTTTGAGTGAGAGTTGAGCCTTATGAGCATCAGCCAGTCCAGGAAAAAGTGGTGTGTGTTCAGCTTTGAATTAGGTGAGCACATTTATCTACTTATTTTACAGAGAACTAAATAATGTTCTGAACTATTTGCTGAATTTTGAGCCGATGCTCATTCTCCTTGTGAATTTATCTTTTAACTTCACTAGGAAGAAGATCAGATACTCTCTCAAAGTCTGTCTTTATCTTTAAAAAGAGTTATTAAAGTTTTCCATCTTTCTCTCATATTATTTCAGAGCCTGGCTTATAAAACAAGGCAACCAATTGAGGTCAGGTGCTACAATCTTTTGGTGCTGTTTAGTGTGACCTAATAAAAGTGCATTTTCTTAAAAACATGGCTTTTCCTTTTTGCTCCTTTTCCCTCTAGTTATTGCTTTTTTTGTGTGATTGAGACTGTTTCTGACTCTTTATTTTTTTCCTTTACATGTGAAATGTTTTGAATCAGATATAGAACAATCTGTATCCTACCAGAGGAACTGAAAATTAAAACAGTGTTTCATGCTGAGGTTAAGGTAGTGTAGTTCTGTTCTACCTTTTACCTCAGTCCTGTAGCAAATCACATGGATTCAAATTTTTCCAGTATTATGCTGTTCTGTCAAGTAGAGCTAAAAAATAAGAATTCTGTCTATTTGAGGCAGTATATAGTCAGCTGTCACTATATTAACAAGTTTACAGTTTGGCTGCTTATTTTGATTGGATCCCAGTTATGTGGCCTAAGAGAGCAGATGTTCCTGGTGTAATCTGATAGTAATTTTTACTATTTTCTAATTTCTAGTCAAGGATAGATGATTTGATGAGACCAAGGCCTCTGTCAAAGCTCCACCTTACTCTACCTCAAGCTGATCCCTTGACCTGAAAAAAAGAACAAACAGTTCTGCAGTAAAATGGTTTTGTTGTGTGCTGTACCTTAGTTGTGTCTAGATGAATACAGAGCACCAATAAGATCATTTTTGATAGTCATTTTATCCTTGCTATAATTTTGTCTATGGTTGGAAAGTAATTTTATAGCAGGTTTAAGCACACTTTTTTAAGATAAAATTGGAATAGAGGCTTGTTGCCAATAACAAATTATGGTAGGCTGAAACTCAACGAGGATTGAGAGGTACAGTCTATTGGTTAAGTATCAGCACAGACATATGGACTAGATGGCATTGTATTTCTCAAGCTAAAACTAAGGAAATCAAGGGACTTACTTGTTCATATTAATCTATTCTCTTTTGTGACTGCTAATTGTTCATTATTTTAATTATTCTACAGAAGTTATAATTTGTGTCTTTAATAGTACTTTTAAAGAATTTGTGAATAAATGTATTGTGAATACATGTTAGTTTCACTATCCATATCAATACTTTTATGATAGATCATGATAGTAACCCTACCTTCTTCCTTTGATGTTAGATGCTGTACTGAACACTCAATGAAAAATAAGAGAGTGTTGTAGGCAGTTCTGTTTTGTTTTGTTTGTGTATAACTGTGTCCTCACTTTCCCTCTGGTTTTACAGGGCACAATGACTACATGTGTCCTGCTACTAACCAATGCACCATTGATAAGAACAGAAGAAAGAGTTGCCAGGCTTGCCGACTAAGAAAATGCTATGAAGTGGGAATGATGAAAGGTGGTAAGTACACAGCAATCAACAAATCCTCAGCATTGGTGTCTGCCTTCCTGTCTTTTAACTTCATTGGACAGCTGATATGGTTCCTAAAGGAGGAAGTAAACAACTTTATTGAGCTGAAGTGCATTAAATCAAAGAGCAATTAAATAAAAACCTCCCAAATACCATGTTATTATTCTTGCCCAAATTTGCATTGAAATTAATAGGAACATCGACTTTGATGAAGTTAGGATATGTCTGTCAGTATTTTTGATTCATTACTTTTGTTGGTCTCTCCTGGTAGTCTCCAGATTCACTTTTCCATGTACAATTGTTTCAATCACATAAAAATTGCACAGAATTCTCAGCTAACATTCTGTAGACTAAAGAAGTTAAAAAAAGTCACTAATTTTGTCCAAATTATCTTTCTTATATAGATGTTCTAGAATTTTTATTTCATACAGTGGCCCTCACTTGAATGAAGTCCTGTGGATTTCATCCTTTTCTTTTACATTTCTGTAAGATTTCTATAGTCACTAAAGTAACTGACAGTTCAGAGTGAGTCAATGTTGTGGGGTTTGTTTGTTTTGTTTTGTTTTGTTTTGTTTTGTTTTAAACTAAGCTGAAAATTTACAAACAAGGAGATCAGATGCATAGATTCTGCCTTCTCCTGAAGGATCAGTATTAATGCACTGAAATCTATCTCTGGTTCATAGGCAAGAATTTAAGAATATTTATTTTACAAAGTCCATGAAAAATTTCTCAAGATCCCTCAGTTGCAGGTTATAAATCTGGCATATTTGCAGATGAAGTATTCAAGAAAGATAAAGTTAATGTAGGATGAAATAAAGCATTCAGGGTTCTGCTGGAGTAATTACTGATCCCATATTGTCCATGCAGCTGCTGGAGAAATAAATCCTTTTCTTTAGGTAGTACTTGATAATTGTCACATTTCTCTCAGATGAAGATTAAGTGAATATTCTTGACACATCAGCTGCTTAACTTTTAAAGTGTTAACTTCTAAAGGTTTTAAAATATTTTTGGTTGGGTTTTTTTGAGTTTTCTCTGAGTAGACCTTTTAAGGTTTTCTGTTTTAATAGATCTCTTATAATTTCTTAAGATACTTAGATCACATAGTGCTGTAGTTAACTCAAGGTCCACATTTTTCTCTAATAATTCATAGTTTTCTTGACTGACTCTTTTAATTTAAATAATCTCCTTTTGTTCATATTGAAGGATTTGCCTTGTTTAAAGGCATGAAAAACATTCAATTGTGTCATATCTCACTTCTAGATATATCTCCACAATTTGCTTATGATTATATACTTTTTAGCCATAGTGGAAAACAGCTGTAACATTTCTTCTTCTCTAAGTGTTATTTCAGTTTTCCTTCTGCACTGAATTAGCTGAGGTTTCCTAATAAATGGTCAAAGCTGCTAAACTTGTAACTTTTATCTATAATTTAACTTCTGAGCAATAACTGGTATTATTTATTAAGTTTCAGTATATATAAGGGAAGCTAGATAAAATCTTGTTAAATGTCTCTAATTTTAAACAGATTATAAGCTATGGTTGCTGAGGTGAGGTTTTTCTCATAGGTGATCACTTAACACAGCATAAAAATGTTCATATATTTTTAATACGGTGGACACAACTAAGACATTTCTGGGGCTTCATTCAGAAAAAATGCAGTCTTCAAGTGGTCCTTGAGCTATGCTGTAGGAACATTTGTTTCTAAGTTTCTGTGGAAATTTTATCTTTTTTTTCATCCCACTGTTCTTTCATCTTTGAAAAACTTCTTTCAGTGCTGAAGAGTTATTTTCTTTCTCTTCTCCTATGTTTGCAAGCGTTTCCTTCTGCATCTGCTACTGTGCTGCTTCAGGAGACATTTAGACCGCCAGAATCTCTGCTGATGTAGTCAGCATCTGAGGCAGAATTTATATTTTTTCCAAATACTTCACTCTTTCTTTCTAAATAAGCAAAAAGACCTTAAAATTATATGTTATTATTTAGTTTGTGTACTCCTGTTTGTATGTGAGGACAAAGCAGTCACATGGAATAAGCTCCTTGTCATGTCCCTCTTTCTTCTGGTTGAGCAGCAGGGCACAGTAGTCTTGTTTTTGTTTGAGATTCACTGATGCTTTTTTGAAGATTGTTCCTGTTCCCATTTGGAGAAATGTATTCCATCCTACTGTTTCACACAATGGGAAGTTGTAGCTTCCAAATGGAGTTTTTATAGTAGTCACAAACATACGGTTCAGATGATCTCTGCTCCAATGCAGACCTGATTTTCCACTTCTTCATAGTTTTAATGGTTATATGATGACTTGGCTCTGAAGGACCTCATTATCTGAAATCAAAAGCACCTTGTTTTTATTGTTATTTATTAATTAACTATTAATATAGTGATGTAAATGAATGGGGATTTCTAGTTATTGGCGTGCTACATTCTTTCCCTCCTCTCAAGTGTGACAAGGCAGACTTAACATCAGGTGCACTGTGGGATCAGAGCAACAGAGTGCTAGTGGAATCAGTGACTATGGTAAAAAATTGCCATATGAAAAATCAGTTATTTTCCCTGTAGCCCATTTTTAGCCACCCTGAGACCTATAGAATTCTGTCAATTGTCAAATCCTGATGGCTTCCCAACCTCAAGTCATATGAAAGGTAGCAACTGAGTTTTTGAGTGCTCATGTGTTAGACCCAGATCGTGATCATGTATACTACCAAGGGTATTTACTGTCTCTAAATAGCCTGAAATTTCATGTTCTAGAGAACAGATTTCGAGTGTTGTTTCTCGTGATAATGAAATTACAGTGTTACAGTGCATTTGAAGTCTTCATCCTTCAGTGTTCCAGTCTGAGTTTGGTATAACAGTGTGCAATCTAGAGATTGGAGTCTAGAGACTGGAAGATTTCAGTTTTTCCCTTACATTCTCTTTAAACAGTTACCCACCTGTAACCACATGGGAATTCATTCTGGTTCAGTGTGACAATGTTGCTGAAATTTATGACAATTTTTTACTGTGAAAAGTAAAAACATTTGGCAAATCTGCCATCCTCTCAGAGAAGAACCTTTCTGATTTTTGTCTTTAAATTGAGAGAGCTATGCTTCCTTGCTGAATGTTTTATTTTTTCATGTTAAAATGCTAGAGAGCTATTAAAGTCATTCTCAAAAGCAGAGGTAAATTGATGTCTGATGCAACCACTGGAAGGGCTCCAGGCGTTCTGCTTTTCTATGTAATTATCCTGTAATGAAATACTATATTAAAAATAGAAATTAGTGAATGAAGAAAAACAGATTAACAATGTGAATCTATTTTGGTTTATCTGGGGAGAACCTTTATGATATTTATTAGACATACTCTTCTGTACTCAGCCAAATAGCTCTGTAGGCAGGGCCTGATAAATGTATGAGGAAACGTACATTTTTAAGATGTAATTGATGAGCTGAAAGCATGTACTCAAGCAACATTTGTAGTGAAGTTTTGTGAGTTTAGAATAGCCTCCTGGAAAATAAAATGGAATTGAAACCAGATGTTTTAGTGAAATGTTTCTTTTCCCTCTTTGTACACATGCAAAGTGGATTATTGCCATTGAATTGGTCCAAAATATAACAGTACACTATTTTGCCCCCAAAATAAGAAAATGAGACAATTGTTGCAAATACTTTTGCCAAAAATACTTTATATTCCTTTTCTACTTCACAGAATGATCTGGGCTAGAAAGTCTCTTGTTGGGCCACCTGCTCAAAGTAGGTTCAACACTGAATTTAGACAAGGTTGTTTAAGACCTTTTACAGTCAGGTGGAAATAGGATGAGCTGTCTTATACTTATTTATATGCAATAGCTAGTCACATAAAAATATTAACACTGCAGAATTCTTGATGCACTTGTTTGTGATTGTAAAGCTAATTATATCTCTATATTTGTTTACATTTGATTTTTGGCCTTTACATACTTATTTCTAAAATGTAGCAGTTGCAATTTCTCGCTGTCTTCCAAAATTATACTAATGGACTCATAGTCCTAAAACTACTTGAGTTTTCCAAATTATGGTTGATGTATGATTCCTGTAGAGGCTTTATTGTGACCCCTGAAATGTCTATGGCTTCACTGTAAATATTGCCTAGAAATAGGGCTGTTGCCATACTTACTGTAGCCAAAACACAGTGTGATTTGTGCAGGAGTGTCAGCACTGAAAAGGATTCATTTGAATGATGGATTAATTGAACTTCTCTTATATCCCTTCTCCAAGTCCTCTGATGCTCTTTAAAACATGTGCTATGAATGCCAAAGATTGAATGTCAAAACACTTATTAGGATAAATCATGTCATGCACCTTCATCTGTGATCACTGTGAACATCTCTGTGAGTTACAAATAGTCCTTAGAGACCCCAAATTACATTTGGCCACTTCTTAAGAGCATTTTTTGTCACCAGGTTGTCAAAAACTTTACATGGAATACCAGTTTTATGATCTGCTGGTAGGAGTACTAGGTTACTGTGATATGTAATGTGACATGATCACTGAGTAAACTGGTGGCAGAGCCAGGAGCTGAACCAGAATATCTGAATGCAATCCCTGGGGCCTGCATCCCCATGCTGTGGTTTCACTGTTCTTCTCTCTCTCCTTTAATAGGAGGCAGTCCTGATTATAGGGGAGAGAAAAAAGCCCCAGTTTGGTAAAGGATGAGTGACATTTTTTTTGGAAAACACCCCACCGACATAAATCTACATACAACATTCATCAACCACTCACGATTAGAAAAAATTGCAACATCCAGGTGCACAGACCAAACTCAAATCTGTTGTTTATTTATACTACTGAGTGTCTAGATATCCTTGTCAGAAACCAAGCTATTAAGCACTGTCACTTGAGGCAGGCCTGTTCAGGACTAGACATTAAATTCTGATTAATTTCTTTAGATTTCAGACAATGTTTCTCATTGAAAGTAATTGTCAGCCCACCTGGGTTTTCAGCACAATTTACATTTCTGTTAGATTTTCTAAAAGAGAAATAGA